GGAGGTTGTATCGCCATTCCCACAGTGCATCAAACTCGGAAGGAAATTATAGTGGGGAGTGGAGAGGCTGATGTAATTGACAGTTCCTTCCTGGTGTCTACACAATTTAAACACACATATAGGTGGGACTTATCATTTGATTGAACTTTTTCTGTCATAACCTTATGTTATTACATATAAAACTAATTTAAACATGTTGTATTTGTTATAAATTTCTTATCTATCATTCTAATCGGTGTTAACTAATATCGGCTAATTGTTTTCTTAGAAAATAACCTTTTTAATTGGTTAGCCCAGTGTTCCCATTAAATATCTTGTATTTGTCTTAACAAATTGTACATACATGGCATTTTAATACTTAAAAAATAAAACATATTTCCTAATTTTTGGTTCAATTATTTTTGGCTTAGCGGTTTGTTGCATTATAAAATGATTTTAATATATATTACTAAACAATTAATGTTTGGACAACTGTAGCTCTATATATTTTAAAATAATTTATAAAATAAAGTTCATGTTTAACATTTAAAAAAACAGCGTAGGAAGAAAAAATGTAAAAACACAATAATATCTTTTTACTTTATTCAAACTACGATCTGGAGTCGATGAATACGCACTTAAGAATTATAAATGGTTCTTCTAATGTCTTCTACCGCTGAAATTAATTAATCAGGCTTAATGATGTCCTCATAACAAGACAGGCCCTCACCTGGAATCCACAAGGCAGGAGGAAGAGAAGCAGACCAAGAAACACCTGGAGATGTGACCTGGCAGAAGACACCAAAAAGATTGGATACACCTGGGAACAATTTGAGAGACTAGCCCAGGACAGATACGTCTGGAAAGCTCTTGTCAGCGACCTATGTCCCAGTAGGGACGACAGGCAAACCTAACCTACCTAACCTAATGATGTCCTACCATTCAATCATAGTTATCACATCAGATCTACCTGATATTTCACAATAAGTCTACCTGTCTTGTCACTTTATAAGATCCTAAATTCTCACAATCTCTGATATGCCACAATAACTTTAAGCTGTCATAATATATCTACTTGATATGTTCAAATAGATCTACGTGATTTTTCACGATACATCTGCCTTATTTAACTCTGTTTTAAAATGCTATGTTTCAACATGTGTGGAATCTTCGTTAACATTTTGTCGCATTAATCTATCGTCATGTTGTTCAAGTACTTTACTTCATTGTTTTTGGCAACATCCTTATGTGTACAGTTAAATAAGTATCTAGCTGATGGGAGCTGGAAGATTTCCTGATAGAGACTTGCCCGAATGCCGTTTGCCCGAAGGCAGATTCCCCGAAAGGACACTTGCCAGAACACAAGAAATGCCCGAAGGGACACTTGCCCAAATACGACAAATGCCCGAATGAAACGGCATTCGGGCAAGTGTCTTTCGGAAATTTTTCGTAGACCCCTAGCTGATAGTCAGCAAATGTGCTATAACTAAAATCTTGTAATGTTCTGGTTGGTATTTTACAGCGTGGTAATTGCTAAGGGGAAACTTAAAGTTGTTAAATATAACTTATAATTAAATCTATTGTTATCAAGTTTTGTTATCCCGTCTTACCCTAAATTGCAGTTGATATATTGAGTATATAGCTGATAAAGTACTTATATTTTCAAAATGTAAATACCCTATAAGGTTACGTTTAAAAGAATAGTCTGTTGATAATGCTGTATAAACTAATAATGGACAGTTTACTTAATGCACACGTTGATTAAAACATCGATAAAAGCTATTAATGTTTCTATGTCTTGTTTAACCAGCTTAACCGTTAGCTATATTGGGCAGTAGATGCCATATCTTCTGCCATTAGTTCTTTCAGAATCGCTAAGTGTCTCTTTGATTATAAACATGCACAAACACACACAAACTCACACAGACACATACAAACACACACAAACACATACAAACACACAAACACACGAATAAAATAAAGTACCCTGTCATATGTACTAGTTGCTCTATAATAGATCTCTTGTTGCAACATAACTCCAAGGAAGCTAAACAACATTCTTACATAAGCTAATAGACATATGTTTATTGTATTGTATGGATTTTTTAAATGACTTAGCATTTAATGTAAGACTTTCTAGATCAACTGCTCAAATGTGTACCTTAAAGCTTAGATGCGTTTAAAAATTGAATTCGTTTAACTTGTATTCATAATTATAATATAGTGGCAATCTTTCAAAATTATAAAACTATTACGTGTCAAAATTTTATGCCATGTACAGCCAGTAGACTCCACCATCAGCCGGTTTTGTATTCTGGATGTTCTTCCAAAACAGTAAACTGCCCAAAAACAAATTTTACGGCAAAAGTTGTTTTGATTCGGAGTTTCATCTCCTACATGGGTTGCTCGCCCCAGGTAAACGAGCCTCATATGCTCGGGGCCTAAACTCGGGACTTTTGAACTTATTTATTTTCATTATTATGAAGCTTTTTTGTCTATATTTTTTAGGTCACCATATTTAAAATTATTTTAAATGTTTATGGAATAGAACCGAGTCGTATTGATTTGTTTTTTTTTATTTTCGAAGAAGATAAGGCTATAGAATGTCAAACACATAGAGCCACCACATACACTTTAATCGATATGATTCACTGCAAATTTTACGTGTTATTTTTAGAGTCCATTCAATGGTTGTCAGTAAATTAACATTCGAAGTGGGAGGGAGGGGACTATTTTGGGTGGAACGCCTCAACTAACGAAGTACGTGTTGGAGAGGGGACCCAGGGTGATATTCATTAAGATTTACATAAAAAGTCATCGCTGATGTTAGATATCGTTGCAATGTTTAATTTTGTCGCTATTTTTGTGAGAGGAGAAGCGTATATAGAGCCATGTGACCATATAGATAGAATGTGCGTGGGGAAAATGTGTGGAAACATTATTTATGCGATTTAAGTGAAATTGATCATTATTTATGTTCTTCACCCAGCATGGTCACCCACACCGAGCAGGGTTGGACATCATTTTATGAGAGAGGGTTATGTTTACATTAGTGAAGTCTTACGACAATGAGGTGAAGTAAAACTCGGTTGTACAACATAATGTTATTAATGAAAGGACTTGTTAAGAAACAAACTACAGAGACACTATAAGGTTTATTTTTAGAATAAGAGAAAATGGACTGGATTTTATCGAAAGCTTTTGTCTAAATTTATTTTTTAGCTTCTTTTGCAAATCATCCACGTCTTTTTTTAAAGCTGCGGACAGCAGTGCTTAAAAATCTGAATGTTTGTGTATGTGTGTTTTAATGTGTATTTGCAATAAAGTATTTGCAATACGCAATCACTACTGCAGAAGATTACAAACTGTTTGCATTATTAACGACTTGACATAGAAGTGCCACATACACTTTTCTTAACATGGTGTTACCATCGGGAATTCCAAAAAACTAATCCATTTATAATGTAAAGAATTATTTTTAGCTCGGTGCTGGCAGCGTGTGTAGCCTAGAGCTACAGGTAAACAGTAACCCCCACCCACTGCAAACTCCCCCACCCCACTACGTGCCCTCAATCAACGACCACCAGAACAAGAGGTGTTTCAAGTTACAGCTATTGACAACGGTGTGCCTATAGCTCTATGTGTTTATTCTTTACAAGTTTTAACCGTCTTTTATATTTTAAAATTTAACTCTTAAAATCATTTATATATATATATATATATATATATATATATATATATATATATATATATATATATATATATATATATATTTGTTTGCTTATGTGTATATGTTTGAATAATATTTTCATTTTAATATCTTCATTTTACAGTAACAAACTACCCTGTAGTTTTCTCTCGATGATTCTGGAGTAACTGATTTTTTTAAAAATGCATAGAATGGCTGCCTTTCTATCATTTAACATTTTGGTTTGGCTAACATGGGAGTTGAATGCATTGTTAGGTCATATCATCATGACAATAATGAAGGTAACATCAAAATTCGTAATTAAATATCACACACCCAAACATTCCAGAACATCACATTTTGACAAGAATGAGATAAAAACAAAGGAACATTTTAATTGAATATGTATCTGTTTGTTTTCTTATGCAACACATATCTTAAGATAAAGACCTAAATAAATAACAACATACGCATTTTGTAAGAGTATAAATATTTCCGATTTATAAGTAATACGCTGTTTAATAGTTGAAATCAATAAAATGAGAAAAAAATCTGGCAAACACGTATATCTTTAAGAAATTATCCTGGCTGTTTGCCAACCTTTACGTGACGGTAATGCTTTTATTCCCAACTCTGGAATAAGCCCGATCTTAATACATTCAACACAAAGAAAAAGGTAAGATTTATTTTTAGTAATGGATCAATAAGTATCGATCAAGTTGAACTTCCATTCGTTGACGTGGGTAAAGATTTTAAGAAGAGAATAAACTATGACTGACGGAATCTAATTATAGACGGTTCTCTCTCCGTAGTGTCATGTGGTACAAGATTATATGGACATGATTGAAAAATAAAACGATACATAAAACGTATTATTATGATACGAATAAGTTTAAATTTTATGTAGTTGTTAGAAGACAAAACTCATTTGTTAAATCGCATTGCAGTCGACACATCATAGAGTCTTATATGCCCCGGGACAAGAACGCAATAATGGCGGGTCAGTAAATGTTTTTGGCTGACTAGTGACCCGCCATCTAACCAAACAAGTATTGACACTACAGAAAGACCAGCTCTCCCTCATTTCATTCCAAAAAAAGAACATTTCATAGCTCCTCTCTATGTACAACACGTCACAGTTCTTATCCTTATTATCACCATCCACCACCTATTGTCACTCATGTCATTACCCACACCACCCTCTACTTTTAACGGTGTATGACGTCGTGAACAACATCAACATGAAAGACAAGCAGGGATTTCCCCAGATCTATGCAGGTCATGTCTATTTTTAGAATCGTCTATTATACACAAGCCTAGAAACCAAGAGCTACCAGTACACATAGCAGACAGAGCTTTGAAGCTGTGTAAAGCAAACATTCTCTGGTATGTAAAGATACGATATCCAGTTTTAGTGTGTGTATTTTTAATTGTATCGTCTAATGCCACTATAGCGGATATAAAATGGTATGTCTTTTTATTTTAACCCAAAAAAATATGCTCATGTCTCGAAGAAATGTTAATGATTTTATTTAGAAAATTTAAAACATTATTATTTCAATTCTTTCTTTATGTTATAAACATTACGTATTTTATTTTTTATTTTCTTAAGCTCGTTAAATTTAATAGCATTAAATGCTTTTTACATATTTAAAAAACAACATTGTTGTATCGCTTGTACAATAAGGGGGTCATACATAAATGACGTCACGCTTTTTTGACTATTTTTACCTACCCCCTCTCATCCGTCACACATCGTAACAAAAAGCCAGACCCCCCCCCCCTAAAAAGACGTCACACCTCAGCCTACAAACCCCCCCCCTCCTCAAAATCGTAGTTGAATTTTTTGAAAACATGGATACTTTTCCAAATATTTGTCTGAACTCTGTCAAATTAGAATATTAGAATCTATATCAATTCCTACTGCAATTTATTTTTAAAAATTTCTAAAATGCGAAATAACGTCTAAAATTCGTTTTCTAATATTGCTTTTTACTTTCTCGTATATACGAAGTATAGAGAAAGTATTGTAATCGTGCAAAAAAAAATCGAGATTTTTACAAATCTCGACGTTTTACACCTCACTGATACGGAAAAACATAAATTTGCAATCTTGTCCGTATGTCTGTGTGTGTGTGTGTCTGTCCGTGTGTAAACACGATTATTTGAGTACCGTTACAGCTAGGTTGATGAAATTTCATATATAAGTATATATCAAATCGTAGATCCGTCTCAACTTTTGAACCATTTCCGATAATCGGAGGTGGTACTTTTCCTACTTTGAATTTTTCAAAAGCCTATAACTTGAGTACTATTTCAGATAGATAAATGAAATTTCACATGTAAGTCAAAGATCTAATTTTCTACCTTCTGTTAAATTTTAAGTAATTTCCGTTGAACGGAAGTAGTAATTTACGCTACTTCCGATTTCTCAAAAAACTAATGAAAATTTTTAAAGTATTAATAATATTGCGCACTATTATTCACATTTTTATATGGTCAAACCCCCTATGATCAAACCCCCTATGGTCAACGCACCGCTATGGTCAAAGGCCCGCTGTGGTCAAACCCCCTATGGTCAAAGCCCCTATGGTCAAAGCTCCGCTGTGGTCAAACCCCCTATGGTCAAACCCCCTATGGTCAAAGCACCTGTGGTCAAAGGTCCGCGCACCCCTTATTATCACCATCCACCACCTATTGTCACTCATGTCATTACCCACACCAACTTCTACTTCTAGCGGTGAATGACGACGTAAACAACACCAACATGAAAGACAAGCATATATTTCCCCAGATCTATGCGGGTCATGTCTATTTTTAGAATCGTCTAGGTAAACTTAATCCTAGAAACCAAGAGCTAATAGTACACAGACAGAGCAACATTAGAAGCAGTGTTAACTTAACCTTCTCTTGTAAGTAAACATACAATAACCAGTTTAGCGTGTGTGTTTTTAATTGCACTGTCTAAGCCACTATAGTAGATATACAATAGCATGTCTTTTTATCTTAACCAAAACGAGTAGGCTATGTTCAAATCTTTTAGAAATGCTAATGATTCTATTTTGACAATTTAAAACATTAATATTTCAACACTTTCTTTATTTAATAAAGATTACGTATTTTTATTTTTTATTTTTAAAGCTATTTAAATTAAATAACAGTTACAAGCTCTTTACATATTTTAAAAACAATATTATTGTGTCGCTTGAATGATAACCAAAATAGACGAAAAAATGTTTGGGGTCATCCATAAATCGCGGCACGCTTTTTAAAACAACGTTTACCTACCAATAATATGCTGTTACAGGTCGTCACAAAAAGAAACAGATTTAGTAGGAGACCATAAACAGATATAAGGGCTTGTAATGGATTGTACCATACAACCAGGGGCGTAGCGAGGGGGGGGTGCGGATCGCACCGGGTGACACCATTTAGGGGGGGTGGGGTGACACCAAGGCAAAAAGTAGCAAAACATATAGAGAAAAACTTGAGGGGGGTGCAAATCGAAAGTTTGAGGGGGGGGGGGTGCAAATCGAAAGTTTGAGGGGGGGGGTGCAAATCTAAAACTTGAAGGGGGGGTGCAAATCTAAAACTTGAAAGTTTGTCCCCGGGGAGGGCCGCAACGCCTCTGGGGGGGTGACACCATTAAGTGCCGCACCGGACGACACCCGACCTCGCTACGCCACTGCATACAACCCTAACTTTAGTATATGTATAATATATAGGCCTATATATATATATATATATATATATATATATATATATATATATATATAGGCCTATATATTTATATATATATATATGTGTATTGTTATGATGCATGTTAGGATCTATGCTATAGATCAGAGCGAATGAATGTTGGTGCGAAAGGTATGTTGAACGCAAGGAATGATGACGCGTATGGTGCGACAGTGACGTTCTGGTGTAGAGACTGGTTGCTAGGTATTGTGCGTGAGTTAGGATGATTTTCTTCGCCTTGGTGAAAGGATGTATGTGAGTTGAGGGTACAGAATTAAAGATAAGAAAAGAAGCCTGCGTTCCTCTTATTGATTGTTGGTCGTCCACGTCGTCTTAGTGAATGATGGTACGATGTATGTCTGTGAACACAACATCTCCACATGGTAGTGGTTAAGAAAAAATGGTATTGGATCAAATAACCAAAACCCCTCACTCAGCGTAACATGGTGGAGTAGCCAACAACGTATACCTGATATAACAAGAGTATAACAAGGTGAAGCAGCTTGAAAGAACGTGATATATGGACTGCTATTCTGAAAATCGTGTGTGAAGATCCTGGCGTGAAAAACCGTGTGGAGTATTCGTATCTACCTTTGAAAACCCATCTAGATAAGAGGAATCGGTTATTGCAGTTTCGAGCTGGGAAGATCAGCGGAAGTATAGACACCTGAGAATTAATTTTCTATATCGTGGAACATATCAGTACAGCACATTCTACTGATAGAACATACCTCTGGAGCGTACAGCGAATTGTTCAACAACGGAGAAAAACCAGCTGTTTTCCCATCCTCCGTCAGCCGTGTATGTAACATTGACACAATCTTCATCGTGAAACGCCAGCAACACGGCACCGAAAAGACGAAATTGAAAACTCGAAGACTTGTTGAACCTCATAAACATTGGATCCGGAATAATCGTGGAACACCTCGGGACATTTGTTGGGAACTACAAGTCAAGGGGATCTGTGTAGCAGGACGAGTTGGACAAGTCAAGGGGATCTGTGTGTCGGGACCAGTGTGTGAATTCGTTAATTAAGATAAGTACCACCATTTTAAAATTTTATTAGCACATTTGTGGTAGGTTCATAATTTTATTGTAATAATTGATCCAGAAGTTGCCATAGTGTATAGATCTAGATCTGTTATACACTAGTGAACCAGAATTGTAGCTAACCTGGCTGAAAATAATTGTTCAAAAGAAACAAAAATGAGTGCCGAGCAAACAAAGAAGCTGCGTGAATTGGGGCAAAGTTTAGATTATAGGGGTGAAGAACTAGAAACATGGGTAAGGGAACAATTAAGGTTGTTAGAAAAATTATCCCTGATTCCCACTGAATTGGAAGCTTCAAAATTAGAAGTAGAGAAGGCTAAAGCCCAAACTGCAGATCTAGATAGAATTAGAGTGCAGGCTGAGGAGCAAATGAAACTAAACATAGCAAGAGTCATAACGCAGGTTGAAGAACAGGCTAGGGTAAGCATGGGACAAATGAAATTAGATTATCAAGCAAAACTGGAATCGGACCAATTAGGAATTACTAAGACAGCAATTAACATGGACAGGACCCATACTAGTGATGCAAATATATTGGGGAAAATACCTAAATTTGATGAGCATAGAGATAATCTTGACTCCTATATTAAACGATTTGATACCATAGCGAAAACCACCAACATTCATGAGCCTCAATGGGGCACACACCTACTAATACTGATCGGAGGAAAGGGTTTGGATGCCTACCAGTGCCTAAATGAGGAGGAAGTGAAGAATTATCGGACCTTGAAACAGACACTATTGGAATTTTACCATCTGACCGAGGAGGCGTATCGAATTAAATTTCAGGACGTACTCCCTGTGAATAATGAGGACTTCAAAATATACAGCAACAACATCAGGACAGCTTTCGATAAGTGGTTCGAAGCATCCGGGCTGGAGCCGACTATGCAAAATTTAAAGGAATTGATCCTAGTTAATAAGGTCCTGACATCAGTGGACAAAGGTCTGTTCAGCTACCTGCAAGAACGGAAACCTAGAACCCTGGATACTGTGACAGACCTATGTCAAAAATATCAGGCGGCTCACCCTGACAGACCCATTGGGAGAATGCAGGACCATAATATCTTTACTGCACAAGCCCAGAATGGTAACAGGGACAGATGGTCCCTTGGAGAGGGTAACCGTCACATGGAGTCTAACATAAATAGAAGGAACCCTATACCAGGACAGAGATATTGTTCCCGATGTGGACAGTCAGGGCACACAACTACAAGCTGCAGATATAGAGGGGCAAATATGGACAGGACCATTCAATGTTTTGAGTGTCAAGGATTTGGTCACTTTAAGAGAGACTGCCCAAGTGGGAAGGGGGTATGTCCTCCAGGGGGATCAATCACCTTAATAGTGGTAGATGACTATCATTGGTTCTAAACATTAGTACAAATACTAGATTGGGTACAATACAGTGCTGGGTAGGGGATAGACTTGTTAAAACACTTTGGGATACTGTAGCAAATGTTTTTGGAGTTAGAAGAAATTTTGTACAATCGCATCTATATACAGGGGGCAGAGTAAGGGTAGAAGGGTTCGGGGGAATCGTTCACTCGTAGCCCATCGCAATTATCAATATTAAGACACCTTACTTTACGGGTAGTGTTAGGGCTTCAGTCTTCACTAAAGGACCATACGATTTTATTCTGGGGAACATAAAAGGGATATCGAATCCATCTGATAACCAGATTTCAGAGTGGATGACTAGACATCACATAAACATGGTACAGACTAGGAGACAATCTAAGGAGGAAATTATAAAGGAAATGGGAGCCATGAAAATTGAGGGCGGCCTAAGTGAGAAAAAGATAAAAGAAGAATCGTCAACCGTTCAGGAATCATTGAATAATGCTAGTCTGTGGACCCCTACACAATTTCAAGAGGAACAGAGAAAAGACCATAGTTTAGAAAAAATATTTAAACTAGCTAAGAAAAACTCGAGAACGTTCTCTAAAACAACAGAACATGGATTTATTGTTAAAGATAACACGCTAATGAGAATATTTAGGGACCATACCAAGGAATACAAACAATTGGTGATACCACACAGATATAGAAACATTATACTCAGTCAGGCTCACGATCTGTGTCTTGCTGGACACATGGGTAGAAGGAAAACAAAGCAGAGAATTCAGTCAGCCTTTTATTGGCCTGGAATGGATAGGGATATATCAGAATACATCCAATCTTGTAAGCTCTGCATGAACAAAACTAGGACGCCCCAGTTGGCACCTATACAGAAAACTGATTTGGTTTGCAGACCATTCGAAAAGATAGCAATAGATATAATTGGACCGTTACAACCAACGTCCGCAAGGGGACATAGGTTTGTCTTGACCGTTGTCGATCTCGCTACGAGATGGCCTGAGGCATTCCCTCTCAAAAATACAACTTCTGAGGACACTGTGAACTGTTTGATACAGGTGTTTTCAAGAGCGGGATTCCCCGATACAATACTCTCTGAAAGAGGACCCCAGTTCACATCAGAAATTACTAGGCAAATTTCATGCTTGCTGGGGATCAAACAGACCTTTACATCTCCATACCATCCCGAAAGCAATGGTATATGTGAACGCCTGAATGGCACGATTAAGACAATGATGGGAAAAATTCCTAAGAGGAATGCTAACGAATGGGACTTATATCTACCTTGCCTATTATTCGCATACAGAGAAGTGCCTCACTCTATAACTGGCTTCTCTCCATTTGAACTGGTTTTTGGTGCCAACCCAAAAGGTCCTATGGATATCATGAAATCTTTACTTGTGGATGACCGACTGAACCCTGAGATGAAGTCTACATATGAACGAGTGATAAATCTGAGACATCAAATTATTGGGTCATGTGAGATAGCTAAAGCATCTATAGAGGATAAGGCTAATCGATATAGATCTAAAATGAACGTCGGTAGACATGTAAGAAAATTTAAGGTTGGTGACCAGGTTAGGATACTACTACCCTCAAGAGAAAATAAATTACAATTGGCATGGATGGGTCCCTATACTATTTCTAGAATAGTGACGAATGTCGATTACGAAATAATGATCAAAGACAAAAAGAAAATTTTCCATGTGAATATACTTAGTCCTTTCCACATGAGACCCTCTGATTTAGAAGTACCGGAATATACAGCTACCATCAATTGTGCTGTGGTTAGTGATGACACTGATCAGGATGATACGTACGAAATTCGGACGATACCCGTTAACAACGAATCTTTTCGAGACATAGACTTAAAACATATTCCAGAAGAATTCCAGGAAAGGATAGAACAGTTATTATCAAAATATCAGGAGACATTATCTGCTGTTCCCGGCAGAACCAACACGATCGAACATGAGATTAAAGTGATATCGGACACCCCCATTAAATTAAAACCATACGAGATACCCCTACATTATAGAGATCAAGTACAAAAGGAAATCAACGAACTAACGGAGACAGGCACAATTGAAATGTCGGATTCGCCTTATGTGTCCTAGGACCTTTGACCACAGGTGCTTTGACCATAGGGGGTTTGACCATAGGGGGTTTGACCACAGCGGAGCTTTGACCATAGGGGCTTTGACCATAGGGGGTTTGACCACAGCGGGCCTTTGACCGTAGCGGTGCTTTGACCATACGGGATTTGATCATAGGGGGTTTGACCACAGGTGTTTTCTCAGCAAAGGGTCTTTGATCACAGGTGGTCTATCAACGGGTGTTTGATCACAAGCGCTGTGTCCGGCTTTGATCATAGGTGTGATACAATTAAAACGATTTTATACATGTTTCCTGAGAGTACGTTAATAGAAATTAACATGTATTTAAAAAAGCCAAGAACTATATTTTAGACTCCACATAAAGGCTGGTGCTAGGCCTCATAGATTTATTTTAAATATAAATGGAACACAAATAATGCGACATATAACAAGTTTCGTACACCGCCAAACGCGTGACCAGTCCTGGCGCTCTCTGTGTAACCAAAACTCGTGGCCACGATACAACAAAGTTCTTTTACCTTTTTTTGACGTGCTATACTCTCCACGATTCTCCATGGTTTTGACATGGAGTAGTTTAGCTGACTTGTATTTATACATGATGATTTAACATATTATTACATCATGTCGAATTTTAAATATAATTTAGCAACTTTTAAAATAAATCCTTACCATACAAAGACCCTATGTGGACAAAACACCTGAGATCAAAGACCCTATGTGGACAAAACACATGAGATCAAAGACCCTATGTGGACAAAACACCTATGATCAAAGCCAGACACAGCGCTTGTGATCAAACACCCGTTGATAGACCACCTGTGATCAAAGACCCTCTGCTGAGAAAACACCTGTGGTCAAACCCCCTATGGTCAAACCCCCTATGATCTAACCCCCTATGGTCAAAGCACCGCTATGGTCAAAGGCCCGCTGTGGTCAAACCCCCTATGGTCAAAGCACCTATGGTCAAAGCTCCGCTGTGGTCAAACCCCCTATGGTCAAACCCCCTATGGTCAAAGCAGCTGTGGTCAAAGGTCCGCGCACCGCCTTATGCTGCACCAATTGTATTGAAAAAGAAAAACAAATGGTGAGATTAGGCTATGCGTGGACTATAGGCAACTGAATAAAGTAACAATACCTGATGCTGAACCCATGCCTAGTCAGGAAGAGTTATTCATAAAATTATCTCAGGCTAGAATTTTTTCTAAATTCGACTTATCAAGGGGTTATTGGCAGATTCCCATTAAGGACTCATCAAAAAAATATACATCCTTCATTACACCTTATGGATTGTACCATTGGAACTTCATGAGTTTTGGCCTAATTAATGCACCGGCCACATTCAACAGACTCATGCGGAAGGAGCTAGCTAACAACCCTGACACTGTTGCATACCTGGATGACATCTGCTTGTTCTCTGATACTTGGCAAGAACATATAAAGGGGCTGGAGGCGTTATTAAAAACATTAACGGACACACCTAGTAAGATTGAAATTGGCATGCGTGAAATCCAGTTCCTGGGCCATGTTATTAGCCACCAGGTTATAAAACCTGTGGAGGAAACTGTAAACCAGATATTAGATCTACAGATCCCCAAAACAAAAAAAAGGATGTTAGACGTTTGTTGGGACTGTGTAATTACTATAGAAAATGTATCCCAAATTTTGCTAGCCTACTCCATCCTATTACCGAACTGACAAAAACAAAGAGCGCTGCTGGGAACAGGGCAATTAATTGGAGTAAAGAGTGTGATGACACTCTAAATTATCTGAAAAACTGTTTTACACAACAACCTATATTGAGATTGCCTGACATGAGTAAATCATTTAAATCATTTACACTAACAACGGATGCATCTTCTTATGGTATAGGAGCCTGTTTAATGCAGGAAGTAGACGGACACTTACATCCTGTACTGTACATCAGTCGGAAACTCTCTCCGGCAGAAAAGAACTATGCCATAATAGAAAGGGAATGCTTGGCAATAGTTTGGGCAATAACCAAGTAATCAAAATATCTATTAGGGGCACCTTTTACGTTAATGACTGACCATTCAACCCTGGTTGCCTTGGAAAGGAAAAAATTAAGCAATGCTAAATTAACAAGATGGGCATTGCTACTACAGGACTACAAGTTTAACATAGTCTATATCCCAGGTACACAAAATCAGATAGCTGACATTTTATCTAGGTCATAATAAAGCACATATAGGTTCTGTTGAGGCATGAAGATACTGATAAAGGTCATACAAATATGACTAGAGATACATATGTATTCTGGTGAACTTAGTGGGTTGTATAAGAAATGTTTGGTGTGGGATGATGAAGTACTGGATTACAATGTGAACTACGCTAATTGAATGGGAGTGTAAGGAACGTATTTGGAATGACTTTTAGAGATATGATTATTATATGATTACTTTCAAAATTGCCTAGTTATTGAGTGATTAAATATGAAACAATATGGTGTGAGATAATATGCATGATTCCTAACTAGTTAATAAAATGTGATAGACCACATATTCTATCATGAGGTGTTTATAATTACGGTTATGATGTTGAAGTTAACGTTTACATGTTGTAAGATGTGTTGAGTTCATAATATAGTATGTTACCAAAGATATTTTGAATACATGTTGTTTCTAGGTTGTTGATTTATCTGATATACTTGTACGGACATATTGTGGAGATAATGAGATTCTGTGTGTGCAGGGCTATCGAGTGATATGATATTAGGACATGATACTTAATTTTTTTTATTTCAGAATATTGGAACTGATTATGATATTGACATATTATGATGTTTTTATGTTATAATGAGAACAACCACAAATGTGCCAAATGGTGGTACTGTGGCTCTGTTCGCCATCACAAATATTGCTGGGTTAAACTAATGTGGCGTTTGGTTTTATATTTATTTTAGCAACTGTTTGGGAGAAGATGGACAATGCCGATGTGATACCCGATACCTTGTTTGGATGGACTGAGATTCTAAGACCAACCATTGATATAATATGAATGCCAGTATATTTGGAATATAATAATCTGTTGTGAGAGTAAAGCTAAAAGCTTGAATATATGAATTAATTAGGAGTTAATAATATACTGACGTAGTTGATATTGTTAGGTTAAACAATGTGTTATACTTAGCTACGTGAGTAGAAGCTAATACTATTAGCTTCAGTGGGAGAGGGGGGTAATGTTATGATGCATGTTAGGATCTATGCTATAGATCAGCGCGAATGAATGTTGGTGCGAAAGGTATGTTGAACGCAAGGAATGATGACGCGTATGGTGCAACAGTGACGTTCTGGTGTAGAGACTGGTTGCTAGGTATTGTGCGTGAGTTAGGAAGATTTTCTTCGCCTTGGTGGAAGGATGTATGTGAGTTGAGGGTACAGATGTAAAGATAAGAAAAGAAGCCTGCGTTCCTCTTATTGATTGTTGGTCGTCCACGTCGTCTTAGTGAATGATGGTACAATGTATGTCTGTGAACACATCATCTCCACATGGTAGTGGTTAAGATAAACTGGTATTGGATCAAATAACCAAAGCCCCTCACTCAGCGTAACATGTATATATATATATATATATATATATATATATATATATATATATATATATATATATATATATATATATATATATATATATATATATATATATATATATATATATATATATATATATATATTAATACTAATAGTTTCGCTGTCCGTCTATCTGACAAGAACGCTCTGTCTGACAAGAACGCTCTAGAGAAAACACAAGGAAATTAAAAACATGCATAGTATTTCGAAAAACGAAGTATGACGTCGACACATTTAGCACAGAGTAGAAAATAATCTCAAACCGGAGAGTAAACATTGAATAAAAAGGAAATTTTGCGTGAAGAGTTTCTTTCATACAATTCTTCGGGTAGGGGCGAAGCCCCACCCCCGCGTAAGAACGTCTGAGTCCCCCCCCCTCCCTAACTCAAAAGAAATTTCTTCATCGATACTCTATAATAAAATTACCGCCTAATTAATGTGTCTAATCTAAAAAGTGGTTTTCTTGCAATTTCTTTAATGCAATTCTTCGGGTAGTGGCTAAGCGCGACACAGTGTTTCTTTCAGACTTTTTCCTCCCCGGAGAGGGGTGGGGGTACTTGAAATTTTCGGGGGCAGGGGTAGAATTTTCTGGGAGGGGGCGGACACTGGAAAAAGTATATCATTATATTTCGTTGAATGGGACGGTAGACATGTTTTGGGGTGGGGGGGGGGTGGGGTGGGGGATGGGGTGTGGTGTGTGTGGGGGGTGGGGGGTGGTGTCTGGGGGTGGGGGTGGGTGGGGGGGGTGGGGGTGGGGGATGGTGTGTGGGGGGGGGTGGGTTGGTTTTAGTTTAGAGAAAAGAGACAGCACTATCAGCCTAGCGCCCGTTGTACCCTTCCTCAACGGGCCATTTTTCTCGTATATATATATTTATACAGGGTCGTCCATGAATGACGCGTCACACTCGTAGGGGGGAGGGGGGGTCCTTAATTTTGTGACAGTGTGTGATGAGGGGGGAGGGGGGGGGGGTTAGATGGTGTGACGTCACTTTTTTGCATTATAAAAAAGCAATGTTAGAAAACGAGTTTTAGCCGTTATTTAGCCTTTTAGAAAACGGTTTTAATAAATTGTAATAGGAATTGATCAAAATACTCTATGTTGGCAGAGTTCTAACAAGATTTTGGCAAAATTTCGATGTTTTAAGAAAAATTCAACAGAATTTTGCGGGGGGGGGGGGGCTGCAGGCTGAGGTGTGACATCATTTTAGGGGGAGGGGGGGTGGTCTGGCATTTTGTGATGACGTGTGACGGGGGGGGGGGGAGAGGGGGAGGTAAAAATCGTCAAAAAAAGCTTGACGTCATTCATGGATATATATATATATATATATATATCTATAATAATAGTTTCGCTGTCTGTGTATCTATCTATCTGTGTATCTATCTATCTATGTATCTGACAAGAACGCTCTAGAG